GCACTTTTTTCATATATTCGTTTTGGAAATGAGAAACAGCAAGCAAATATTTAATAATAATAGTTTAGATGGAGGAATAAAAAAAAGGAACGAGAACTTCAACATCTCATTCAAACATTTCAAAGTTTGAACAGTTTTATTTTTTCAACACAAAAAAAAGTTTTTTTTTTCATTCCTCTCGTCTGCTCTGTTGTAGCTCAAGTGCATAATGAGTTTTCATTTTCAAGTATTTATCAGATCTATACACAATTTTGTGAATAAGTGAAATGAAAGAACTCAGTATGGCTTCTTAATTTTATTATTACTTTATTTTATGTGGATTTCATTTGAGCTCAAATGGTTGATGTGGAATAAGTTTGGTTTGTCTGGATGTCTGGAAAAAATTTTAAACTTAAAGTTCCCAGTGAAGCTTAAAGCATCGCTTCATTTTGTAGAGTTAAAAATAAAACATCGATTCATTTTGTAGAGTCAAAGAAAAAAAGTGTCGCTTTGTTTTATAGAGTCAAAAATAAAGCATCGATTCAATTTGTAGAGTCAAAAATAAAGCATCGCTTTAATTTGTAGAGTTAAAAATAAAACATTGATTCGTTTTGTAGAGTCAAAGAAAAAAAGTGTCGCTTTGTTTTATAGAGTCAAAAATAAAGCATCGATTCATTTTGTAAAGTCCAAAATAAAACAATGCTTCATTTTTTTTAAAAATAAATCATCGATTCATTTTGTAGAGTCAAAAATAAAGCATCGCTTTAATTTGTAGAGTTAAAATAAAACATCGATTCATTTTGTAGAGTCAAAGAAAAAAAGTGTCGCTTTGTTTTATAGAGTCAAAAATAAAGCATCGATTCATTTTGTAAAGTCCAAAATAAAACAATGCTTCATTTTGTAGAGTCAAGATTAAAGCATCGATTCAATTTGTAGAGTCAAGATTAAAGCATCGATTCAATTTGTAGAGTTGAAAATAAATCATCGATTCATTTTGTAGAGTCATAAATAAAGCATCACTTTAATTTGTAGAGTTAAAAATAAAACATTGATTCATTTTGTAGAGTCAAAGAAAAAAAGCAGAGATCGAAGCCGATTTTTTCGGCTTAACTCAATTTTTGATTTTTTTGATAGAAAAAAGCCATTTAACTACCATTTTAAGTATTTAAATTAAACTTTACAAGCTTTACTATGATTCTGTGTAATATTTTGTCAGCATGTAGCTATAGTGAGCTCAGAATTTCAATTTAGTCGATTATAAGCCGATCGGCTTCAATTTCGGATTAACATCGTTTAACTTGAAATTCTGAGCTTACTATAGCTACATGCTGACAAAATATTACACAAAATCATAGTAAAGCATGTAAAGTCCAATATAAATACTTGAAATGTATGTTAAATAGCTTTTTTCTTTCAAAAAAATCAAAAGTTGAGTTAAGCCGAAAAAATCGGCTTCGATCTCTGAAAAAAAGTATCGCTTTGTTTTATAGAGTCAAGATTAAAGCATCGATTCAATTTGTAGAGTCAAGATTAAAGCATCGATTCAATTTGTAGAGTCGAGTTAAAGCATCGATTCAATTTGTAGAGTTAAAAATAAATTATCGATTCATTTTGTATAGTCAAAAATAAAGCAACGTCTCATTTTCTTAAAAGGTAAAGTTGAATCCAAAATTCACCACAATTAGCATCACATCTTCAAACCCAGCATGCATCTACATTACTAAACATCCTTAAATGATCATCATCAATCAGCAAAAATCACAACAAAATGCGCTCATTTTTCATTCTTAATTTACAACCTTAAAAAAAATTCACAACCAATTTATATGTACATACACTTCCATCATAGCAGAGCCAGAGAACGAAATGAAATTAAATTAGTGGAAAAAAATTGAAAGAAAAAATCAAATTAACTTTTTTTCTTTCTTCTCCTTTTTTTCGTACACAATTTCATCCATCTAAAATTTCATATTATTAGAAATCCCTTTTAAAAAAAAATTCAATGCCTGAAATTGATTGAAGAAATTTGATAGCTTCTCGATCAATTCTTTCATGTTCTTTCCTTCCATTCCAATTCGTTACATCTGACTGACCTTTTAATTAGTGATGTTCTCTTTCCCTCTTCTAAGATTTCATTTCGACAACGTCATCATGGCAATCGATAATTTACCAAGTTGTTAATTGCATGGAGAATGAGATTTTAGATACTTTTTTATGTTATTTTTTTCTGCGTCTCATCTTTGTGAAAATAAATAAAATTATTTTTTTTGAACGAAACGTCACGTTTTTTTTTTAAAAATGTAAAGAAAACAAACACGTCAATTTATTCAGTTCTTCTTCGTTAAGTGATTTTTTAATATGCACCATCGGGGTTGTTTGTTGATTGGATTTTACTGTGACGTAAAAATTCTTATTAAGTTTAAAATGCAGCAAATCCCCCGACATTAACAGAAATTTCTTCATTTTGCTAGGAACTTTATGAAAAAAATCACAACTCTTCCCTCTGAATTTTCCATATAAAATTTTTTTTGCCTCCCCCCCCTCTTAAATTCCTGGCTATGCCCCTGAAAGGCATAGATGGAGCTAGAATTTTTTGAGAGAAAGCCCATAGCCAGGGTCGAGTTTTCGGTCCCCTTTTGACAAACAGATTTATTTAAAACAAGATAAGAGTCCCAGTGCTTGCTGAACATCCTTAAAAATGACAGTTAAGAACGAGGTAATGTGCCAAAGCACCCCTGCTAAGTCTCAAGTCACAGTCAAATGTCCTCATAATAAATCCCATTGCTGGCTTAAATCGAAATGTAGTCAATAGTTCCACCTTTACTTTATATTCAGCCCCACCCTCCCCCTTCTCAAAATATTCAATCACTGAAGGTTCAAATTTCAAATATCCAACGTAGCTTAAGATTCCCAAAACTATAAACACGTCAACAACATGCGCAATTCCAAAATATTCCCCGATTCACCTTAATTCCTAAACAACAAAAATCCCACGACATTTCGATCCATCACTTAATACCTCAACTTCAATAATTCTTAATTAAGATAGACATGTCGAGATACGACCAAAACCCTTCAGATTCTGATAAGCTTAAGAACTTAATAGCTTCAATTTTAATCAACGCATTTTATCGATTGAAGGAAAACAGTAAACAACTTTATTTGTTCTCGAATATTAAACATTGTCTATTCCACATATTGTTTTATCATTCAAAAGCTTCTGAAAAATATTTATTCAATTGATATTGACGACTGATTACTGTATTTTAAAAGTTCAATTATTTTTTCCAGTCTCAAATGCTCATCGTATTTGCTTATGAATAACAAATATTAATTGTGCAATATTCAAATTTGTTTCAAAGTTATTTTTTTAATAAATAAATTTAATGAGTTTATTGTTTATTTCAAGGAATTAAGCTGACGTGGATGGTTTTGAATATAATATGAGATTCAGTAGATTCAGAACATAAGATTGGATTCTGGGTCACCGAAAAAAAAAAATTTATTTAAAAAAACCAGTGGAAATTCACGGGTGTCTTTGAAACCCACGGGTTTTCGTGGGGTTTGACCCGCGAATTCTCGTTTTGTCGGTGTACTATACACATAAGCGAGATGATCGAAAAAAATCAAGTGTGTGGAAGTGATGAAATGATCAAAAATGATCAAATGAAATACATCAATTGCGCACCCTTTGAAATAATTGAGTCGAATTGGTTTTTTTAAGGATCTTAGCCAAGTTTATTGAGTTTATTGGGAGGAGGGGACTTTAAGGAGGGAGAATGTTTTCACAAAACACATTGGCCAATTAAGAATCAAGGACACTTAAACATCTCGAGGCTACAATCTTAAACCTAGTCGAGTGTGTCCAAGAGTCAAAGTGGAAACACAAATGTAAGAAAAAAGTCCAATTCTAATCAAAATTAATTCAAATCATCTCCACATCCCTAATAGTACTCAACATTTTATTAACATTTAAAAATAATTTACTGCCTCATTCCCAAACTGAGCATTACAAGCCATTAAAGCGCATACTTAAAAAATTATTAAACGTTTTTTATTAAGTACATAAAAAAATATTTGCTCATCGACGAGTAAAGAAATGCTGTAATTTAATCAGCATAAAGTTGTAAAGTTCAATAAAAAGAATAAATTTATCGATATCCATACATGACCTGAATTCGATTCCATGTTGTTTTATTGCTCCTTAAACTGTTTACCAAACAGTTATATTTTTAATTGTACCCAAAATAATTTTTCAGCTTTTACGATTAAAAATCAGCTTTGGTGATTATAAACCTCTTCAGTTATCTATAATCGTCTCACTTGCTATCACTGAATTATGGTTGATAGGAAATTTTTTTATGTCCCAAAAAATACTTATGGGATTTTATTAGCGCAATCAAAAATAAGTAAAGCTTATGATATCAGCTTGAGGAAAGTGCATTTTTAATACTCAAGATAAGAAAATTATTTTATTGATTTAATATTTATGACACGAACATGTGGATTGATAGCTTTAGGTGCCATATGTCTGATTGGGTCGATGTTTTTCTTAATATTGAAAGCTGAGGTATCAATGGAGCTACATTTGGTTGAAGGTTTAGTACCAGCTCCTGTCAATTATCAGCTACTCGTTACTTTCCACTAGTAGATACTAGCTACTATCCACTATAAACTAGACACTTACTAGTAGCTTCTATCTCTTAGCTACTTACCTCAATAGCTAAGCTCCTATATACTAGCTCCTATCTACTATCAACTATCAACTGTCTACTAGTTACTATCCACTAGCTATTAGCTCATAGCAACAATATACTAGCTCCTAGCTACTTTCTAGAAAATGCGCTTAGTACCCCAAACCTCAAACATTTATTACATGTCACTCACACTTCCCAGTTTCTTCAAAACTTCAATCAAACAAAAAGTTCATGCACTCTACCATGCCTACATCACCTTAATAATAGATGACTGACGTTATCTAAAAGAAAACAACTCTCGTTTTTCTAATAACCAATCAAAAATTCGATGATAAGAAAAACACGTTCAGTTTGTTTGGGGAACTTAAAGAGCAAAAACGCGAAACTTAACTATGTCAGAGTATTTAATTGCTGACACAGAATATGGTCAAGTTCGTGGAGAGAAAATAATTTCAGAAGTTGGAATTCCATACATTCGATTTTTGGGAATTCCATATGCAAAACCAACTGTTGGTGACCTTCGATTTCAGGTTTGATTAGAATTGATCAATACTTTGTCACTGATTTGGGAACTGTTTTTTTATATTTCTTAGAATCCCATAACATCAGACTCTTGGGAAGGAGTTCGTGATGCTTTAATTGAGCCACCGCCATGTGCAGGCAAAAATAACCACACAAAGCAGTTTCTAGGAACTGATGACTGTCTATACTTGAATATTTACACGAAAAATCTAAATCCTGATAAGAAATGTGCCACAATTGTTTATTTACATGGAGGAGGTAAGTAACATGGATCTTAAATAATGATTCTAAACCCTAAATCAACCTTCCACATCCAGGATTCAGAGGCAACAGCTCAACCCTTGAAGTCTACAGCCCAGATTACATTCTCATGTCAGATGTCGTTTTTGTTATCTTCAATTATCGTCTCGGATCATTAGGCTTTGCCAACTTTAATGACAAAAGTTTGAATATTCCCGGCAATGCAGGCATGAAGGACCAACAAATGGCAATGAGATTTGTGCGTGAGAATATTCAACATTTTGGTGGTGATCCAGGCAATATAACATTAATGGGACATAGCAGTGGTGCATCAAGTGTCGGATTGCATTGTGTGGCTGAAAGTTCTAAGGGTTTATTCCATAAAGCAATTTTGATGTCTGGATCGCCAGTTGGGCGAGAATGTGATGTGCCTCAGTTGAATTGGACGAAGAGATTAGCTGAAAAGTTGGGATATGATGGAGATTTAGAGAATGATAAAGATGTGCTGGACTTTTTAAATACTGTCGATATCATTAAGATGGCTGAAGCTGGTTACGATTTAGCTACAAAAGATGAAAAGAAGAAACTTGGTATTCAGCTAAATTTTGCACCACATAAGGAACTTTATGCCACTGATTCTTCATTTTTATTGAACTCTCCAATTGATTTAATGGAAAATGCATGGAGCAATGACATTGACATCATGATTGGTGGGACTAGAAATGAAGGCATGGTTCATTCGGATATCAATTATGCAGATGCTGTTCCTGTTGCTTTATCTAATCCTCGTGAGGGTCCAAAACTTGATGAGTTGATTGCAAAGTTTCAAGAATTCTATGAAGCTAAGTTTGGAACAGGAAAGCAAGCATATGAGGAAGTAAGATCAAAATAATTTAACTTTAAAAAATAAAATATCAAATTTCGTAATTATTAACTAGTTCCGAGGTGACTCATTCCGTTGGTCTGGCATGATACGAGCCATCAAGGCTAGACTTTCATCAGCTGGAAAGGGAAAAACCTATTTGTACAAATTTTGTGTTGATTCACCGACACAAAATCATTATCGGAATCGTGCTTTTGGAAAGGGATCAACAGGTGTGAATCATGGCGATGAGTTATCATATTTTTGGAAGAATAATGAAGGAGACGTTCCAGCTAGTGACTCGATGGAGTTTCAGGCTATTAAAAGATTTGTAAGTGTTGAGTTTTGTATTATTGGAAATATTTTGAAATTTCAAGGTTTTTGGGGGTGGTTTGATGGGGGAGACTAAGTGAATTTTGTAGGTTTGTGTCTGCTTGAAGCTAGCAATGGCTAGTTGTGGTGAAAAGTTGTTTAATGAACCTTATGTTGAGGCTGGTTTTTCTACTAAGCTTCGAATAGTCTTTTAGGAAGTCTAGGGAAGAATAAGGAGTTGGTTTAACGGCAACTTAGGGAATCCTATTCTATTTTTGGACTTATATTATTTGTCCCCCACAATGCAATGCATTCAATGACATTCTTAAGATAGGAAGCCTCAGGTAGCTCGAAAAATGACTCAATGAATTAGCTATTGAACCGATATTAGATTCAAACCTTATACCAGTAGACTATACACTTTACAGCTAGCTCAATGCTACTAGATTGTTGTCAAACCTTATTTGTTCTTTATTTCTCAACAGACCTCAATCATCACATCCTTTGCTGTCAACGGAAACCCAAATAATCCAGAAATAGCTGATGTTGACTGGAAACCTATCGATAGTAAGCCGTACAAGGGTTTAATAATTGATCAGAAGCTTAAAATCAAAGAATTTGAAGAAGCTGAAAGAATTTTGAATTTCTGGGTGAAGCTTTTTGATGAGAATGGCGCCAAATTTTGTTAAATTATTAAAAATTGATTTTAAATGCGTCAAATAAAAAAAAAATTCAAAAAAATCTACAAACTTATCACAAAAGTTCTTATTATGCATTGATAAATCGAATCCAAAAAAAAACTTCACTTCCTTATCGTTCATTCATTCACATATTATTTTTTTTAGAGGTGGCGAGCCTTATCTTAACGACAACAACTCTTGATTATAAAAACAAACCATAATTCTCTGATAAAGATTTAACAACTCAGTATTTGTGTGAATTTTAAGGCACAAAAACGTAAAAAACATTCAATTATGTCAGAATATTTAATCGCTGACACAGAATACGGCAAAGTTCGTGGCGAGAAAATTATTTCAGAAGTTGGAGTTCCATACATTAGATTTTTGGGAATTCCATATGCAAAACCACCTGTTGATAATCTTCGATTCCAGGTACGAAAATAGAAAAAAAATATTCAATTCTTAAATAATTTTTTTTCCTTAGAATCCCATAAAACCGAGTGCATGGGAGGGCGTGGTAGACGCATTAGTCGAGCCCCCGCCATGTGCAGGCAAAAATAATTACATCAAGCAGTTCGTTGGGTCTGATGACTGTTTATATTTGAATATCTATACGAAGAACCTTAATCCTGAGAAAAAATGTGGCACAATTGTTTACATACATGGAGGAGGTACGGCATCGTAAAATAGTTGTAAAGGAATTGACTTTTTGATTAGATGGGATTGTTGCTTGAAAAGGTTTTTATTGGGGTTTGTGTTGTTATTGATGAATCTTTTTCTTTTTGGAATGTCATGGAGTTTAAATAGGATTTTAATGGTTTGATCGGATTTAAGAGATGTATTGGCATTTTTATTTGGAACTAAGTGATGCTGGGTCTTGTCTAGAATTCCTGACATTCTAGATTTGAATGAAAACTTTACCAAAGTTCTCACTGCCTTTATGACCACAAAACTTCGCATTTATCTAAGCCAAAATATTTTCTCATTTAGGTTTCAAAAGCGGAAGTTCAACTCTCTACTCATATAGCCCAGATTACATTCTCATGTCAGATGTCGTTTTTGTTATCTTCAATTATCGTCTTGGACCATTAGGCTTTGTCAACTTTAATGACAAAAGTTTGAATATTCCCGGAAATGCAGGCATGAAAGACCAACAAATGGCAATGAGATTTGTGCGTGAGAATATTCAACATTTTGGTGGTGATCCAGAGAATATAACATTAATGGGCCATAGCAGTGGTGCATCAAGTGTCGGATTGCATTGTGTGGCTGAAAGTTCAAAGGGATTGTTTGATAAAGCAGTTTTGATGTCTGGATCACCACTTGGACTTGAATGTGATATTCTTCAATTGAATTGGACGAAGAGACTAGCTGAAAAGTTGGGATATGATGGAGATTTAGAAAATGATAAAGATGTGCTTGACTTCTTAAACAAAGCGGATGTATTAAAGATGTCTGAAGTTGGTGGTAATCTAGCAACAGAAGATGAGAAGAAAAAACTCGGAGTTGAATTAGTATTCGCTCCACATAAGGAACTTTATGGAACCGATTCAACATTTTTGTTGGATTCTCCAATTGATTTGATGAAGACTACATGGAGTAATGATATTGATATTATGATTGGAGCAACTGAAGACGAAGGAATTGGCGAGACTGAATGGAATTATATGCAACATGTTTTAACTGAACTTGTCAATCCACTGGATAGTCCAAAAGCTATTGAATTAGCAGAAAAATTGAGGAGTTATTATGAAAATGAATTTAAAGATCAGCAAATAGCATTTGATAAGGTAAAATTCAATATTACAAAGTTTTGGAAGTAAAGGGCAAGTAATAAGGAGTTTTTGTAAACGTGGCCGGTTAGACCAGTGTTGTCCAAACTTTTTAAGCCACAACACACCTTAGGGGTAAGCCATGACCAAAGCTGCAAACAGTATGCGACTCGTGTCATTTTTAAAAAATTCTACGACACACTAGTGTGCCGCGGCACTTAGTTTGGACAACACTGGGTTATACCGTCATTGCTACGTCTCTGAAAGTAGCTCAATGACCATAAACATTTTATTATAATTGTCATTACTTCACAGTTCAAAGCCGATTCATTCCGATGGTGCATCATAACAAGACTCATCAAATCACGACAATTATCAGCTGGCAAAGGCAAGACATACTTGTACAAATTTGCTGTTGATTCACCAACCCAAAATCATTATCGCAATCGATGGTTTGGACTTGGTTCGAAAGGTGTTTCGCATGCTGATGAGCTTTCTTATTTCTGGAAGAATGGACAAGGTGATGTGCCACCACTAGATTCTATGGAGTTTGAAGCTATCAAACGTTTTGTGAGTATATTTTTGGGGTTGAGGATGCTGGGTTATTTAATTAAATCCATTTACATCATCTCTCACTAGACCTCAATATTTGCATCGTTTGTGAATACTGGAAATCCAAATAATCCTGAAATTGGAGATGTTGAATGGGAACCTGTCAATAGTGAACCATACAAAGGATTGATTATTGATCAAAAGCTAGCTATTGACGTCTTGGATGAAACCAAACGATGTTTAGAGTTTTGGAACAAGCTTTTTGAAGAAAATGGAGCTAAATTTTGTTAAAAATTCATTTGATGTGCTTGAAATCTTACAAACTTTGTTATCAACTCTAGACTTGTTTTTTAAAATACTCTGATAATAAAAAATAAAACCACTTGAAATTCTTAACCATTTCTCTTTTTAGCTCATTTTTGATACTTGTTTCTAAAAGGTAGCTTAATAATGCATTTTGTTTGGATGTTCGGGCGAACAAAAACTTTTTAACTAGACATCGTAGAGAGTTCGGGTTTGATTTATTAGCTCAGTTTTATCGGGTTATTGGCCGACCGAGCATTTAAAAGTCTTAAAACAGTGTATTTATACTTTAATTCTTGATTTTTTTAAATCATATGAAATACACGCGATGGGTGCGTTTAGAAATTTGAATTATTTTGTAAAAATAATTAGAATTTTGGAAATTATTTGTTAATTATGACACTAAAATGCGTTTACGTCCCTCGATCAATAACACGAGAACTTCTGGAATTTTTTCAAAAAACTCATTTTTATAAAGACCTTAATTTCCAGTATTACAATAAATTTATGAGACTCCAATAATTATGCCCCAAACAGCTATATTAATTATATTTACTCAACAAAAAAAAATACCTGATAAATCTAGATTATTGCTTAAAAACCTTACCTAATTAATAATTTTTTTAGTCCAATTGTTTCAATTGCCTCGTAATTAAAAACACTTCAGGCCTTAATTTTCCAATCGTGTACAATATTTGTTGGATTTATAAAACAATACTAAACGTTGTAATATCAATAAAATTTAATTAAGTTTTTTTTTTGTTCGTATGAATTATTGAGAAGTAATTAAATGAAATTTGTGATTTCCGGCCTAAAAGGGTAGGGTGAGGTGATTTTATTGTAGATATTAAAAATAATACGATTAATTAGCTGTTCTATCGAATTGCGTGCTGTATGGAGAGTTGTTATAGAAGCTAGTTTCTCGAATAAATGGATCTTAGTAACTTTAAATTGTAGTACGTCATGTTCTAAGGCAATGTTGTCTAAACTGTGTGCCGGAGCACTCTAATGTGTCGCAGAAAAACTCAAAAAATAGTATGAACCACATTTTGTGTGCGGTTTTTTCGTGCACTACTACTAAGGTGTGCCGTGGTACAATTGTTTTTTGTATAACACTGTTCTATAGTCTTGGATAGAATCATAAATGGTTTGTATATACAAAAATGATAAGTAGGAGTATTTGAGGATTATTTAACATATTTTACAGTGGTTTGATGTCGAAGTAGAGGGGAATCTGGGAAAACTCGTCATAAATAGACAAATCTGCTAACGCGAGAGGTAACGCAGCTTCCGAGACCGAGTGGTAAGATTCAGACCGGAAATCTGTAAGCTAATTTTGTGAGGATGTGAGTTCGATTCCCAAAGCAGTTTGAAGATAATTCATCAATTTGGATATGCAATTGTCTAGCGTCCAGCTATCAACCGGCCTTTGAGGTACACCAGCTACAACATACGAATTTTATGTCTTCATAACAATCCTTTTAAAAGCTATAAAAAGGCCATTCACTTATGACGTCCAAGAGGAGGGACAGCAAGGCAAGAACATTGTTCATTTTTGAAAAACGACCGTTAATTTTGGACGTCATAAGTGAACGACCCTTAAGTGTAAAAAATACATTTCATAACACTTAAAACTGAATTTTTCATATAAATTAACTACATTTTGATCAGATCTTCAACAACTATAATCACCAACGAAATAAATATTTCAACCACTTCCTCTGGACATCCCATCCACTCACGTTTAAAAGTGATCATTTCTACATGCCCTAAAAACAAATTTATAATTTGATAACAATAATGAGCCCTTTCTCGTTCAATAATAATATACCTTATAGAAACAACAATGTTTAAACTTAATTCACAGAACTGAATGTACAGTCGAGACTATTCGTTTCCATAAATAAGTTGTTATGATAATTATTAATTTCTTCCTTTAATAATAATAACAATTAAATTCTTATTTCTCTTCTCCATAAACATTAATTCCACAAAAAGCTTCGTTCGTTCATTAAGGGGGCAAACAAAAAAAAAATGTTGTTTATTGTAGCAGCACAGAACACAAAATGATGAACATGAAGAGGGAGAGAGAAGAAGAATAAATTACGTTGTAAATTAAAATGTAATTTATCCATTTTTGTGGCATTCTATAAACATTTTTTTAATTAGATTCGTTTGCTAGAGAAACATTAAAAATGTGTTTGAAATGAATACGGTCGTAAAGTCATGCAAGATGTATATTGCACATGAGATGGATCTCAGATAAAAAAAAATGCAGAGAAATTAAATTCTGATTTTTATTGCAGAAAAATAAACAGTCGGAATTTTTTTTTGATGTAATTAGAGGAGTTAGAGGAACAACATGTATAATGCAGGTGATCAGAAACGCATTTTATATTGAAATTATGATAGTTTTGAATCTTTCGTAGGACATGTCCTAAGATGCTTAGGTAGCTTGATAGCTTATTTAGCTTGGTATGAGGCACAAAATTAAGTATTAAATTTGAACAACCTGGTTCAAATCCCACCATAAATCTAGTGTTTTTTAAAAGCTAAGATAATATTTATATAATGTCTATAGATAAGGGGCCGTTTATTTATGACGTCCGACATTTAGGGGGGGGGGGGGGTGTCTAGAATTTTGTGACAGTTCAAACAATGGAAATTTTTTTCTATAGAATTTTTGTGACAGAGGGGGGAGGGTGGTCTAAAAATCAGGTTTTTTGATGGACGTCATAAGTGAACGACCCCTAAAGTGACTTTATTAAAACATCTAGAAGGAAGAAGCAAACTTCCAGATGACAAAACCACAGAAAAAAGTACAACTCCGAATAATGAAACCCGAGCGGGACTCGAACCCACGTCCTCCGATTTTCGGTCGCATGCTCCTTCCACTGAGCTATCGGGGGTTAGACTATATGGCTAAATCCCATATATAAGTTATAATATCTTTACTGTTCCCTTCCACAACATGATTTATCGTTGACTGGCTATAAGATCAACAGTGGTTTGTCATTTTGTGATATATAAATTGAATATCCAACATATTTCCCTCAAAACATCAATTCCAGCATACCAAACTGCACAATAATCACCAGAAAAATTCTCATTTTCCAACAAAAAAAGTCAAGCATCCGAAAAAAAAAAACTTTTTAATATCAATTTCAAAAGAACAAAAACAAACAAAATAAAAAAGGCAGCAGCAACGAAAAGCAAGAAGGAAGAGGAGATTCAAGATCAACTTTGCTCGTATCAATTGGGTGCGCTATTTAAATTTGATACGATAGCAAATGGAAATGAGCATGAAAGGCCATTATTTCACAGTCTTTCCAATATCGTTCACGATTAATTATTAAGATTTTTCTCCATCCTCATTTGTATTCAGACAGTTTTTCTTAATTAGAGAAGCTCCGTAGAGATCCCATTAAAAGAGATTAAAAAGAATACTGAACACACACCCACATCGCTCATTTCAGACTCTCGTCGAAGAATATTCTTTAACATTCATCTCGACTTTTTTTTTTATTTTCTGTGTATTTTAAAATGTGAAAAAAAAATAAAAGAATTCTAATGAATTTTTCATGAAGCCCCTGCTTGCATTTTCAGTATTGTTTAAATTCTCTTTTTTTCCGTCGTGTTTTTTTTTCTGTTCGAATAATGCTTTATAGTAGAGAAAAAAAATTGAAATTTAAATAAGTATATACATAAACTTTAAAATAATAATAATGTTTTAAAAAAATGAATCGCTTTGCTTTTTTGGAGATTCATTATAATTTTTAAACAAACGAAAGAGTTTTGACTGTTCAAAGATGAGAGGAATTATGATTATTTTTTCTGTGTGTACTTTTGAAAGAAAAATAAATAATACAATATTTTGTTACCATCAGCTAATGCTCGTCGCTTGTTTTAAAAAATTCGTATAATTTTTTTCAGACTAAATGGAATTTTTTTTTTCTGAATAAGTTGTAGAGCAGTTTTGGGGATTTAGCGCATTTTTAAATCACTTATAGTCACCTAGCAGTCGACTAGTTACTAGCGATCACTTGTTTCTAGTAGTCACTAGTTTCTAGTAGTCACTAGTTTCTAGCGATCACTTGTTTCTAGTAGTCACTAGTTTCTAGTAGTCACTAGTTTCTAGCGGTCACATGTTTCTAGGAGTCACTGGTTTCTAGTAGTCACTAGTTTCTAGTAGTCACTAGTTTCTAGTAGTCACAAGTTTCTAGCAGTCACTAGTTTCTAGTAGTCACTAGTTTCTAGTAGTCACTAGTTTCTAGTAGTCACTAGTTTCTAGTAGTCACTAGTTTCTGGTAGTCACTTGTTTCTAGTAGTCACTAGTTTCTAGTAGTCACTAGTTTCTAGTAGTCACTAGTTTTTAGTAGTCACTAGTTTCTAGTAGTCACTAGTTTCTAGCGGTCACTTGTTTCTAGCGGTCACTAGTTTCTAGTAGTCACTAGTTTCTAGTAGTCACTGGTTTCTAGTAGTCACTGGTTTCTAGCGATCACTTGTTTCTAGTAGTCACTAGTTTCTAGTAGTCACTGGTTTCTAGCGATCACTTGTTTCTAGGAGTCACTAGTTTCTAGTAGTCACTAGTTTCTAGTAGTCACTAGTTTCTGGTAGTCACTAGTTTCTAGCAGTCACTAGTTTCTAGTAGTCACTAGTTCTAGTAGTCACTAGTTTCTAGTAGTCACTAGCTTCTAGCGGTCACTAGTTTCTAGCGGTCACTTGTTTCTAGGAGTCACTAGTTTCTGGTGGTCATTTGTTTCTAGTAGTTACTAGTTTCTAGTAGTCACTAGTTTCTGGTAGTCACTGGTTTCTAGCGATCACTTGTTTCTAGGAGTCACTAGTTTCTGGTAGTCACTTGTTTCTAGTAGTCACTAGTTTCTAGTAGTCACTGGTTTCTAGTAGTCACTGGTTTCTAGCGATCACTTGTTTCTAGGAGTCACTAGTTTCTGGTTGTCACTTGTTTCTAGTAGTTACTAGTTTCTAGTAGTCATTAGTTTCTAGTAGTCACTAGTTTCTAGCGATCACTTGTTTCTAGTAGTCACTAGTTTCTAGTAGTCACTAGTTTCTAGTAGTCACTAGTTTCTAGTAGTCACTAGTTTCTAGTAGTCACTGGTTTC